TTGTAACTCTCAAATTCAGCTAAACTGGCCGTCCAGTAAGTTCTAGGAATCCTCCTGTCTCCACCTTCCTAATACTGGGTTTACAGATGTAATCACATGCCCAACACTTTGAGGGGATGTTGAGGATCAGAACTCAGATCTTCATGCTTGCACACAGGTACTCCACCTACTGAACCATTTCCCCAGATCTCTCTCCTTCCTTCTTTACTCTTGCTCAGTTTCTCCTGATGTGGGGTAATGGACTGCATGCAGACTATACCCCAAGTTCTCTTGTTAGTGAAGGTCAGTCAAGGAGGACACTGACTTGAATGCTGGGAAAGAGAGCCAGTAAATGTTTCCTCCCTGTCAGGTTCTGTGGCAGCTTCTCCATCTCCCGTTCTCACAGGCTTCCCTCTCCATCGTGCCCAGTCTGCCCACCCCTCCAGTCTAAGGGTGGTGTCTCTTTGATGTGTTTGACCGCTGGAGTACCTCACTGTCTCCCTTCAAGATTCTCAGCTCTTCCCTCATATTTGAGTCTTCCTTCTTCTCTTCTTTCTCCTACTTCTTCACTTCTACTTCCTCTTCCTCCTCATCCTCTTCCTTCTTGTGTGTGTTTTAATTGAAGCCCTTCTTTCATAAAGACTTTAAATGGCTTCTGTTTCTCCGTTTTGACCTTAACTGATACCAGAATATTAAGAATGCTTCTCATCAAATAACTTGTCCCACTACCGGAAATGCTCCAGGAAAGCTCTTCCCTTAGTTCTTTTCCTTAAAGGGGGAAGAGTACCAGATTGCTAATATAAAATGTTAACAATAGCATTTTCATAGCTCCTTCATTCTGCTCCATCCACCCACCCATCCATCCATCTGGAATCATCAATCTTTGAGTGTTGGGAGGGGAGAGTAACTGTTGGGCACTCATGAATGAACTAGACTCACAAAAGAACTGTACAGGGGAGCCAGGGGACACTGTTCAAATCACGTGAAGGGCAAGGAATATTTACTTGAGAACCACATGTGAGTTGGTTTCTTAGTCTATGCTTTGGCATACAGAATCAATGAGACTTTGTTGTCCTTTCTGGGGTTCCTACAATCTGCCTCATTGGTAAACTGAGGCAACCAGGAAAAAAGAAGACTGAGAAGGAAATATAACCACTCTATAGCCCCAGAGCTCAGAACTGTCTCTTGCCCAATGAGAGTAGCTAGATACAGAGTTTGCGAGCAGAGTTTGTCTTGTCACTAGATTGTGATATCCCACTAAATCACTGGGCTCAGACCTGCAAGGGCCCGAGAGGAAAGAATCAGAGACTGGGGAATCACAGCTTTGTGCCTTACCTCTCCAAGTACTCCCAAGACTCACCAAATAACTTCTCTGAATCCCGAGTCTTAATAGAAGGATTAAAGCCAGCTCACAGGATTGATGGGGTATAGTCTTCCTGAATCCTGGGTACGTATGTTCTAAAACTCCGAGTCAGTACCTGAAGCCAGCCACACACAACGTAGCATTTGCCATTCATACTTACTGATGAGAAATAATAATCTATAAAGTAAATATATTAAGAGAATAGCGAGAACAGTTCTAACAATATAATGTAACAGAAGGCCTAAGTATCCTTACTCTTGGACTTCAGGATCATCAATAAGTAAAATAGGGCTCACTGAAACACAAGCAGTGTGATAGCACAGCAGTTGATCTCCTGCATGAGACAGCTAATAGTGAGTGATAGTGTATATAGTTTATGTGTGCTGGATTGTTTTACATCAAGTCAACATGAGCTAGAGTCCTCAGAGAGGAGGGAGCCTCAGCCGAGAAAATGCCTCTGTAGGATCCAGCTGTAGGCAAGCCTGTAGGACAGTTTCTTCATTAGTGATCCATGAAGGAGGGCCGAGCCCATTATGGGTGGGACCACTCCTGGGCCGGTAGTCCTGGGTGCTGTAGGAAAGCAGGCTGAGCAACCTAGTAAGCAGCACCCCTCCATGGCCTCTGCATTAGCAACTGCCTCCAGGGGTCTGCCCTGCATGAGTTCCTGCCTTGACTTCCTCCAATGATGAATAGTGAGGTGGACATGGAAGCCAAAGGTTTCCCTCCTCCCTTGGCTTTTAGTCATGGTGTTTCATCACAGCAGAAGTAGTTATATATTGGACAAAAGAATGACTTGCTTCCCAGGGGACACCAAGCAGGATGGCCAGAGTTCATTACGCTACACAGAACGTGGATAAGTTGAAAGATGAATTGTTTATGAAAAAAAATCTCACCCGGAGCCATAAGAATTCATAAAATGTGGTGTACTACAGGGAGATAACGTTCATTAGAAGCCACCGAAGAGTGCGTAGTTGTGCCTTACTAGGCCTGGTGAAGCACAGGCCCATCTGACACACCTGTTTCAAAGGTGCCAAGTGTTACAAAGAACGTCACCACGAAGGCACCTGTGATAGAGGTCCTGCTTTTATTGTCCTACCATATCGGTGCCTTTAAACATCTGGCTGTCGCAAAGGTCTCTGCCTCTTTTTCCACTTTTGCTTTCTCTAATCAAAGGTCATCCCGTATGTTCACTGGGGTGGTGGAGGTATCGATGTGTGAACCCGGTAAGCCCCCTTCTCAACCCTTTTTTTAGTGTTGAGACCCCACAAGCTACAGTGTGAAATTGCATCGAGTTTGGATGCAAAGCAACGGTTTTGGATCCGATTTCAGAGCATTCTAGGAAATGGGCACATCCAAGGCTTAGCTGTACCTGAACAGCCCATAGAAAGGGAGCGGGGGGGAAGCGATGCTTCTGTAAAAACAGTAGCAGGGATTTAAGAAAAAGAAAGAAAGAAAGAAAGAAAGAAAGAAAGAAAGAAAGAAAGAAAGAAAGAAAGGAAGGAAGAAAGAAAGAAAGAAAGAAAGAAAGGAGAGAGAAAGAAAGGAGAGAGAAAGAAAGAAAGAAAGGAAGAAAGAAAGGAGAGAGAAAAGAAAAAGGAAAGGGAAAGAAAGGAAAAGGAAAAAGGAAGGGAAGAGGAGAGGAGAGGAAAAGAAAAGAAAGGAAAAAAGAAAAGAAAAGAAAAGAAAAGAAAAGAAAAGAAAAGAAAAGAAAAGAAAACTTCCCCCTAGAGGCTGTAATTTGACTGCTGTCTTGGCAAAGCTCCAGAGAGCAAGCTTAATCTCTTTCTGAGCTGCCTCCTCCTTTCTGCCTGGTCCTCCCGCAGGGCCCCGTGGAGGCGGGCGGGGACCGCGACCCGCGGCTACGGCCGGAGGAGCGGGGCGGGGCGGGACGCGCCGGGAGCCGAGTGGGAAAGAGGAAGTGGAGCCGGGCGAGCTGCAGGGCTCAGGGCCGCCGGAGCCGGCGCTGAAGCGCAGCGCACCGCGGAGCCAGCGCTCGGGAGCCGCCCCTCTCGGGTAAGCGCTGCCGGGACGATTCCTGGGACCAGACAAGGGAAGCCGAGGACCTCGGCCACGCGCCCCGAATCTGCAGGTGGGACGAGCGGGATCGCAGTGCCTGGCCCTGGGGTGGGGGATGTCTCTGAGCTTGCTCCAAGGAGGGGACTCATGGGGTCGCTGGCTGTGCTGCCCTCCGTCCTGGGAGTCCCCTAGTCTGCCCTTAGCCCCCAAGCGCTCCCTCCTCTCGCTGCAGCCACCCCGGTTGCAGTTTGCAGCTCCACGAAGTTTGCTCAAGCGCGCCGGGTGCCACCCGCGCTCCCAAGTCCAGCGGAACTGTCCCCAAATAGGACACTCTGGACTAACACCCCAACAGGGATGCGGGCGCGAGTGCGGGGAGTGGCTGTGTGGTCCAGCCAGATGCAGCCTAGTGGGGGGACTGAAACTCGCGTGGGCGCCCCCAAATCAGCAAGTCAGCGCTTTATAGGAGTGAGCCGGGAGTCTAGAACTGTGGGCCATTCGTCACCCGGACATAGAATAATACCTAGCTGGCTATGACTGTGTTGACTGTTGGCCAGAGGAAATGTTGGTTGGGGGTGGCAGCGGGCCCCGGGGGTGACTGCTAGAGCTGGTCCCTTCTTTGTGTCCCCACAAAGTCTCAGAGCTCTGCAGTCAGAAAAATCAGGACGCCCGATGGAGGAGAGGATGGTTGGCTTGCTCAGTTTCACCACTTTCGTGAGAAACAATGATGTGGCGGATTGCCTTAGATGTGCAGTGTGAAGTTGTTGTGTGTAAAGCTGACCCTGTGTGCAGCCCTGGAATTTCATTACGCTCTGGCGGCTCTTTGCGCTCTCTTTGTACCACCCTCAGGTAGCCAGAGCTACTGCACCTATTTTTGACGCCCCCGGGGACAGTGATTTTATCTTCTCAGGAAGCCCAGTCACCCAGGGAGGGTTGTTTGGGGGGGATTTGAGGCACTCTGGATACAAACTGAGTACACACTGGGTACAAAACCCATAGGATGCCAGGATGTTAAGTCTGGGTCAGATTTAACGTTTAATTGAGTTCTAGGCTTAGATTGCATTAAGACCTGTGGTCAAGGGTTAAAATCAGCCTGTTTTGAATTCTCAGTTTCTGGGGTTCGAATACTTTCAAAGAATAGATGGATTTTGTTTTGTTTTTAAACTGATGTAAAAAAAAACTTATCTAAGCCTATCTTGTCAGAGATCTAAAACCTCTCAACTTTAGCCTTACGCTGTGGGATGCGAGGAAAAGCAATCCTGGTAGCTTCGACTTCCTCTCTGATAAAGCAGTGTATATGAAACACATAGTTTTAACTGGTTTTTACCCCTTCCAGTCCAGGGTATTTATTTATTCTACAGTAGTTAATACTTCTATACAAAAGTGATGGGTTAGTGTTTGACCCTTTAACATCTTTGACTCTGGCTTCCTGATTCCTGACTAAGCTTTTTGTCCTCTTGAAATCGCACCACATCCAAGCCACTAAAACCGACCAGGAAGAAACTTTCTTTTCCAGAGTTCACCGACTTCCCTGGCTTCCTTCCCAAGTGAGTCCCCACCAGTAATCCTTGTGTGACCTTCCTTCCATTTCTCCTGCATGACAGATTCCCCCAAAGCCTTTTGCAAAAGGATAAAACAAAGCAAGAACGCGAACAACTGTTTGGTAGTCAAATTTGTGCCTCAGGTCTGCCTTTCTTTGATAAAATTTGTCTGCGCCTGTCCTTCCCCTGTGAGTACACATTTCTCAATGCCTTTACTATAGATGATTGTCAATATATATTACTATGTTATATATAATATAAATGATATAATATATAAATATATAATATATGATATAAAATATATATGTAACTGTATATTGGTATATTATATAAATATATAAAATACAAACTATATATAAAATAATATATAATATCAAAAATACGTGTAATAGATTTTAAAAATATGTGTAATATATTATATATAATATTATATATACATATATACATATATACATATATATACATACATATGTATACCTTTTAAGCTTTTCATGGGAGACTACAGATATCCTTCAAATGGGTGAAATGATCACATTGTAACCCACAGAAATTGCCAGCCTAATTTTTCAAAACCAAAGACTCTGCTCATTTGCTGTCATGATTTTTTTTTGGTGATTTAATTCAGCTTTACTAGTTTGTGTTCTGACATGAAAAAAAAATGGAAAAAGGACTGAGTAACTGCAGTCTTTTGAGCCTTTATAGTAAACTAAAGACAATTTCTATCTATACTCTGTTCTGGGTGCTGCAATCCCCTTTGTGTGGCTTTTTCTTCTTTTTACTGCTGGTAGTTGGGTCTTTGAAACAATTGTCACCTTGTAATCCTGCTGCAGAGATGATTAGATCTCCAGGCTATTCAAGCAGGATGGCTCTTAGATGCTGTGGAACAGCCTCTGCTTCTTAGAGATTTAGAGTGATTAGGGGCAAGCATTGTAGGATTAGCCCTTGAATTTGAAGCTCCTGTCTGTGTCCCATGAGCTTGCAGACGGGGACCCTGAGCTGACATGGATCATTTTATGACTAAGGAAAGTAACAATTATTTACAAACAAGCAACCAAACAAAGATACATTATTTGGCTTTTCTTATCGTTCCTTCTTCATTTCCCCCATTCCTGAATATATTTCAGAAAGAATGCTCCTTAGCTCCAGAGCTGGACTGAGGGTTGAATGGAGAAATCCATATTAAGTGTTCCACACGTAGGGCGTGCTTTGAGGATGATAGTTGCTGACAAGCTGATCCCTGAGGGCGGGGGTTTTGCTGGAGCCTCTCCATTGGCAGAGCTGTGGTTGAACTCAGCTCTGTCTGAAACCTGTCCTCCATACTTCAAAGTGATAGTTGTATGGGGACACATTTTCATATTTATAAACTATTTGTTTCTTTGGGGGGTTTTCTCTCCAATTTTCTCAAATAAGGTCTTACTGTGGAACCCAAACTGGTCTTGAACTCACAATTCTCCCACTTTAGCTGGGCTTACAAGTGAGTGTAAACCACACCAGGCTGTGGTTCACTCTTTAAGAGGAAAAATTATAATAATCTTTTGACATAGGAAAAATGTGATTTCTAATGCAAAGCATTTACATATTCAGGCACAGACAGGAAAAAAAAAACTTTTTCTTTTCGACAGTCTCTCTAAGTGACCTTAGACTTAATGTGTAGCAGGCATCTCAGATACTCAAATTTTAGTCCCAGGCCTCCTGTATCAATCTCTCTTGATAAAATGAAAAGTTGACCCTGATCCATCAGACCATTCAGAGTCATGGATAGCTATGCCAAGTAGAACTCACTGACAGAAGAAGGAGCCTCACATGATTAGAATCTGGCTGACTACGTAGCTAGCAGTGGATGCTCTTCAAGGATGACGGGCATGCCTGCTGATCTGGCAGTAGGCCCTGGTTCATCACTGAAGGGCTTGGCCCAGGGGGAACCTAAACGCTGCAGAGCAACTAAAGATGTGCCTGGCTAACCTGCTTGCCAGTGACTAGGAGTTCAGTGGAACGCTAGCTCTCATGTTGGAGTCTCAATATCTTTCCAACCTGTGTCTATAAGTTCCTGAATATTTCTTTTCCAACGACCTACAGACCAAGTAAAACATTTCCAAACCACATCTTCCTTGGGTGAGCAGAGGTGGCCTCTGTACCTGTGCATTTTTCAGTCCCTGATAATCCAGCTGTTCACTGAAAGAATTTGTCTTTATTTCCAAGACACCCAGGGCTGCAATGGCTTTGTAGCACTTGTGTTGCATTAAGTAGCATAAGTAATTTAGAATATGTGGAAGCAGTTTAAAGTCTATAGGGAATGCCGGAAATGAGTTGGTGGTTCAGAGGCCTTGCTACTCTTGAAGAGGAGAACTGTAGTTCTATCCCAGCATCTGAAGGCTCACAGTTGACTGTAACTTTAGATTCAGAGGGTCTCACACTCTTTTCTGACCTCCTCTGGCACACACACTCATGGGCATGCAGGTGTGTGCACACACAAGTGCACATGCGCACAAACACACACCTCTAAAGTATATAGGAAGCACTGAAGATGTAGCTCATTGGTAGAGCAGAGCATATACTGAATTCTCATTCTGGCCTGGGCTCAATACCCCAGTACCTTTAGCTCTAAAATGGAAAATGTGTATAAATTGAAAGTTTCATTCAATTTTCTATAAAGGATTTGAACATTCATCGGACAGTTATTAGAATGCCAAAAAACATCTGTATTAAATTACTGTCTGACAGGAAGCTAAAGCCTGCTAGAGCCACGATTCCATAACCCTTCTCTTTTTCCCTCCCTATACGATCCAAGAAGAAAGTCAGTTTGAAGAGTGTTGACGCTAGGGTAAATTTAAAAAAAAAAAAAAGAATTCCAGATACGCCCACTCGTAATAACTCAATGGTGGTGGGGTGGAGGGAGAGCTGGGGTTTTCTGTGAGCCTTTAATTAAGAACCCTGTTTTGGTAGTTTTAATAACCACGGTGCTACAGAGGCCACAGAAGTAGCTTATCAGCAGAAGCCAGCCTGACTGTGATTTGGCTAAAAGTTAAGCATCCCTTTGATAGGAGGAGGGGGCAGGGGCATCCTTTCAAAATGTCAAAGGGAAAAAGTAGGGTGAGTATGGGTCCCATGATAGCTAAAGCTTCAGCAGGAACCCATAAGCCATCATGCTTTTGAGTTAGCTATAGTAGTTACAATACTCTCTCTCTCTCTCTCTCTCTCTCTCTCTCTCTCTCTCTCTCTCT